GAGAGAGAGACGATGGGGAGATTTAAATCTTGTAGACCCTTGATAGTAATAAAGAATGATTGTTAATTGTTTAGCTGTGGTACAGTATTGTGTGGGTGTGTGGCAGGGCAGTGTGTGTAAGAAACTTTGTATCTGTCAAGCCTCAGTCAAGGAAACAACTACTATGCATATTACAGAATAAGAAATCAATTATAGAGTCAAGATCCCAGTGTCCTGGTATTGAGTCCCCACATTTGGCTCCTTGCTCAGCAGGGAGACTGCTTCTCCCTTTGTGTGGCTCTCTCTCTCTTTCAAATAAGTAAAATCTTTTTAAAAATTTCATAAAAAAATTCATTACAGGAATTGGTATGCTTGTGGGACAAGCTAGGGAGGTAGAGGCTCAAAAAAGGACCAGAGAAGTCATGAACCAGCTTTGGCAAAGTACATTGGAAGCATCCATCTTCTGGAGGACAACCACAGAAAGAGTTGGTGGAGATGGTTATGGAAAATCGTTTGTTCTTTGTGGCTGCTGCTACCATGAGCTCACAGAGGAAGTTCTGGTAGTGAACTGGGGGTCATTGGTCAGCAGGTCCAGTCAGTGGGAAGGAGGGCTGGAAGAGGAGTCGGGGAAAGCAGACCAAGTGGATGGAACTTGCCAGTGCCTCGGCTATCCCTCACAGCCTCTAAGGAAGGACAGGACAGGACGCCCTTCAGAGCACAATGGCTACAGTTTCACTTCCGCCTCCCAAATTGTATGCAAATTTCTCTCGTGGCTGTCCCTCACCTGGAATCACACAGGGAAAGGAGTTCTGGAAATGTGGTTCTGGCTCAGTCATGCGGGAACTGCATAGCTACCCCATTACCCTTCAGAGATATGTACAAGAATACTCACCGGTGCAATCATATGGTGTCAAGATTTGCTTCAAAATGGTTTGGGAAGGGGAATAGAAAGAAATAGACAGCTCCATTTTGCCCAGGAGCAGAAAATGGGTGATGGTACCTGGAACTTTGCTTGACTATTCTCTTGATGTTCTGTGTCTGCTCGGAATTTTCCTCTAATTAGAAAGTTAATTAAAAGTGCGCTCTTGGGGTGCTTGGGTGGCTCAGTTGGTTAAGCATTGGACTCTTGATTTCTACTCAGGTTATGATCTCCGGGTCATGAGGTGTAGCCCTGTGTCAGGCTCTGTGCTCAGTGGGGAGTCTGCTTGAGATTCTCTCCCTCTGCCTCTCTCCCATGTGCTCTCGCTCCCAAATAAATAAATAAAAATCTTTTATAAAGTACACCTCGGGGCGCCTGGGTGGCTCAGTGGGTTAGAACCTCTGCCTTCGGCTCAGGTCATGATCCCAGGGTCCTGGGATTGAGCCCCACATTGGGCTCTCTGCTCAGTGGGGAACCCGCTTCCCCCCCCACACACCTGCTTCTCTGCCTACTTGTGATCTCTGTCAAATAAATAAATAAAATCTTAAAAAAAGAGTACACCTCTTGCATTTTTTTCCCTTGAAGTATCAATAGACCCATAGATTTCTTTCTTTTTTTTTTTAAAGATTTTATTTATTTATTTATTTAACACAGAGAAATCACAAGTAGGCAGAGAGGCAGGCAGAGAGAGAGAGGGGGAAGCAGGCTCCTTGCTGAGCAGAGAGCCTGATGTGGGGCTTGATCCCAGGACCCTGGGATCATGACCTGAGCCAAAGGCAGAGGCTTAACCCACTGAGCCACCCAGGTGCCCCTCATTTTGTTTTTTTAAGACTGATTTATTTATTTCAGAGAAAGAGAAAGAGAAAAAGCGGGAGGGGCAGAGGGAGGGGAGAGTGAATCCCAAACAGACTCCACGTTGATCGCAGAACCCGACCCAGGCTCAGTCTCACCACCCTGACAGCATGACCTGAACCTAAACCAAGAGTTGGTTGCTTAACTGACTGAGCCACCCAGGCGCCCCAGATTTTATTTTATTCAATGTGGTGTAGCTCATTGTAGCCATTGTTCTTGTGTATGCTTTAGTTGTCCCAAATATGGCTGGTGGAAGACTAAACTGGCTTCTATTTTTTTTTTAAAGATTTTATTTATTTATTTAACAGATTGAGATCACAAGTAGGCAGAGCAGCAGGCAGAGAGAGGGCCGGGGTGGGGGGGCGGGGAAGCAGGCTCCCCGCTGAGCAGAGAGCCTGATTCAGGGCTTGATCCCAGGGCCCTGAGATCATGACCTGAGCCAAAGGCAGAGGCTTAACCCACTGAGCCACCCAGGTGCCCCATAAACTGGCTCGTATTTCTTGGAAGATGACTGTGGTCTTCTTAGATAGCTCCTGTCCCTTCTGGCACTATAGGATATCCTCGACTCACTTTACATTTCCCTTACCCCAAACCCAGAATTGGGCCAGTTCTCCCAGGTGCTCTGGTTTCCTTTAGAGGGGAAGAATGTTTAGAGACCAAAATACAGGTGTTAGGTGTTAGATGTGCTGGTGGTTATTAGTGAGGTGTCATTTCTTCTGGGTCCTTTCTTAAATGTTTAACAAATGAAGAATGGATGTTGGATTTTATTAAATGCTTTTTTTTTAAATTTAGATTTTATTTATTTATTTGACAGAGAGAGATCACAAGTAGGCACAGAGGGAGGGGGAAGAAGGCTCCCTGCTGAGCAGAGAGCCCGATGCAACACTCGATTCCAGGACCCTGAGATCGTGACCTGAGCTTAAGACAGAGGCTTAACCCACTGAGCCACCCAGGCGCCCCATATTAAATGCTTTTAAGATCATCTGTCAGTATAACCATATTCCGAATTGTCACCTGGTGAAATTTATTAATAAATTGCATAATATTGAATCATCCTTGAACTCCTAGAAAGAACTCCCATTTGTTGATGATGAATCATTCATGTAACCTACCATTGTATTCTAGTTGCTAATATGTATTTAGCATACGTATATAGCTAGCTATTCATGAGTACTCATGTCTGTACTACTGTAAAGCTTTTATTTATAAACCAGGCTGGAATTGTTTACTGGTGAAACATGGATCTTTGACTTTGTTGAAAGGGAGAGTAGATAGGCCTTTGATAATTTTCTCAAAGACTTTATCACAGGTCTGTTGAGGTCATTTGTGTATTTCTGGAAAGTCATCCCTTTCATTGGGGTGTTCAAGATCCAGGTTTCACTTTGTGTCTCTCGCTTTCTGTTCCCCCTTCTCTTCTTGGTTCAGGGGACCAGAATAATCTGATCTCATTTCTAATTCCTGGGGAAGAAATTGTGGTTGATGGCCCAGCTCAGACCAGGTGTTCACCCTTGGTCCAATCCACCATGGCCGGGGAGTACCGTGTGATAAGCTGGGATCTTAGGTGTCCCCGGTGTGGGTCAGGAGAAGAGTCTTAAAGAAGAGAGGTTATAAACGGGGCAGATAACCAAAAAAGCTTTCTGCTCAGGGCGTAGAGTTAGCAATTACTCCATTTTAAGTTTCTCTAATTCACGACTTTCTCCTTGCGTTGTTCTTAAGTTCCTCTTTCTGCTTTTCTTAGCTTTGTTTCTTTGTCCTTTTTTCAAGCTTCTTTTTTTTTTTTTTTTTAAGATTTGTATTTATTTATTTGACAGACAGAGATCGCAAGTAGGCAGAGAGAGGGGAGGGGAAAGCAGGTTCCCCACCAAGCAGAGAGCCCGATGTGGGGCTTGATCCCAGGATCCCGGGATCATGACCTGAGCCAAAGGCAGAGGCTTAACCCACTGAGCCACCCAGGGGCTCCTTTTTTTCAAGCTTCTTATTTGATTGCTTAATTTATTAATTTTGTGTCTCATAGTTAGAAATTGGCATTTAAAACTTCAATTTTTCCGCTCAGGACAGTTTGAGTGTGTTCCATAGTTCTGGAAGGTAATGTCTTTATTATCTTTATATTCTCATTCCGAGGTCCGGGATTCAAGGGTTGCTTTGGAAAGCCTTTCCGAAATCTCCATGCTGTTGGGGAAGCGGGCTTTTCATGAGGTTACATTTTTTACTGTGCTGTCAGAGTACATGACCTGAACTATTTCTACTTGATTACAGTTTTCTTTGCGTGGCCAATTTTTGTAAGTGTTGTAAGAGCTCTTTAACAGAATATGAATTATATCATTTAGTTGCTGTACTATTTTATATATTTTGGAGACTTGATTTGTGAAGCACTGAGCTGCGAGAGTGTTAGGTGTTAGATGTGAGAATGTTGGAGTCTAAGACTATCTTTGTATTTGTAATCCTTCTGCCTTTTTCTTTTCTTTCTTCCTTTTTTTTTTTTTTTTGTTTTTTTTGTTTTTTTTTTTTTTTTTAAGATTTTATTTATTCATTCGACAGAGAGATCACAAGTAGGCAGAGAGGCAGACAGAGAGAGAGAGAGGAGGAAGCAGGCTCCCCACCAAGGAGAGAGCCCGATGCGGGGCTCGATCCCAGGACCCTGGGATCATGACCTGAGCCGAAGGCAGAGGCTTTAACCCTCTGAGCCACCCAGGCGCCCCCTTTTTATTTTTTTAAATGTAGGCTCCGCACCCAGCGTGGAGCCCAACACGGGGTTTGAACCCACTGAGATCAAGACCTGAGCTGTGATCAAGAGTCAGATGTTTAACTGACTCAGCCCCCCAGGTGCCCTGCTATCTGTACTTTAATGTTATTATTTAGTGGATAAAGTTCATGACCACTACATCTGTTTTGTGGGTCATGTATTTGGTCATTGTAAGTGATCTTTTTTGTCCTAGTTAATACTTTTTTTTTTTTGGCCTTGAATTCAACTATGCTGACATAAATATTGCAAACCTTACTTTCTTTTTTGTCCCCCTTGGGATGTTTTTGCCCATTCTTTGCTTTGTGATTTTTCCGAGTCTCTTTGATGTGGCTTGATTCTTTACTCTCTTTTTAAAATGAGAAATCACTTTTGGTAAGCAGTATAAGGTATTTCACTTACGTTTTTCCTCAAGTTATTATTCCCACGAACATTACACAGTCGAGTCACTTATTAGATGATCAAGAAAAAAAAGATGTTAACGGAATTTGTTCCTTTGTCTTCTAACAGGTCTGAGTTTCTGTGGCTTCTCAAAATCTCAGTGTTGCTCTTTGGACTTGGCTCTGTTGTATTTCTACTCAGAAGTGTGGAGTTCAGTAGCCCCACGCCAGAGCTCCCTCATTCTGCTCTGCCCGACCAGATCCCAAAGCTTCTACCTGAGGAACGGCTCAAGAACCTCTTTACCTACGAAGGAATCTGGTGAGAGTCAATTTATTCCATGTTGGTCCGATGTTTCCCTTGCTCCTCCGACGGTTTACTGTGCCCAATTTATTGCCAGTTCCCTGCCTTCCCGAACCTGTGCTTGTTGTTCAAGTGATCCAAACTGGGGGACCTGGAGAAGGACTGGTCTGCAGGGTGCTGTGTGCTCTCTGCAGCACCGAGCAAAGTCCCTTAAAACTACAAAGGGTCTGTTTGGCTAAAACTGTAAGAAAGATGCTGCCTTTCTGTCCCGCTGGCCTCCTCTTCTGGTGGGGCCCAGATGCCATGGGCATTCAGATGACTCAAGTTCAAAGCCATTTGGTGCTGGGGATAATTCTAGAGAGCGGGCTTTCTTCCCCTTCCTCCACCCGACCCCTGTATCTCTGGGAGGGGCCACTGCTGGGATTCCAGAATCTCCTCCCAAGTAGGGCAGGTAGTATATGGAAAGGAGATTCTCAGGGTGAAACTCACACTGATTAGACCCCGGGGTCTCTCACCCACCAGCCCACCCGCCCACTCCATGGTCACAGTCCTTTTCTGGTTTTAGGCTCTTCCCGAAAAACCAGTGCAAATGCGATGTTACCGCACAGCAGGGAGGCTACAACTTTCAGGATGCCTATGGCCAGACTGAGCTCCCAGCGGTGAAAACAAGGAGACAGGCTGAATTTGAACACTTCCAGAGGAGGTAATGCAGACCATGAGGGCTCTTCGGTCCTGGGGTAGAGCAAAAGCTCTCTCTACTGTGTCCTGAAGGTGTGGGTCCCAAGAAAATAGGGAGGAACTCCTCGCTGGCAGGAGTCCCTGGGAGGAACTGTTAGGAATAAAACAAGGAGAGAGAACAGAGGAAAATGGCCCATAAATGAAGATTTACCAAACTTTGGATGTCTACAACATTTCATAGTAAGAACAGAGCAAAGGAATGAAAATAGTCTGGGATGTCCATGTGGTGTTGGTGGCACAACTCCGGCATCCAGGCCTTCACAGCAGGTGACTTTGCAGCAAGGTGCACTTCTAATTCATTTATGTTGGGAACATATGTCCCCCGTGCTATATGCAGGGCCTAGAATGACACACCTGGGGTGTATAGGCCAGGGTTGTTGATTGAAAAGAGCGATGATTGATTCTGATGGGCTTATATCAAAAGGGTGTTTGTGGAAGGATGTTGGAACCTCTTCAAAACTATAGGTGATAGGATGACCAGGTTAAGAAATCAAGAACCAAGGAGCACAGAAGGGCTGGACAGGCCCACCCTTGCTCCCTCCCCTCCCTCTCCTTCACTCCTTCCTCCCTCCCTTCCCTCCTTCCTTCCAGCAATCATTTATGAGTTATAGCAGAAGGTATGCCATAATAAAAAATAACAATAAGGGCGCCTGGGTGGCTCAGTGGGTTAAGCCTCTGCCTTCGGCTCAGATCATGATCCCAGGATCCTGGGATTGAGCCCCGCATCGGGCTCTCTGCTCGGCGGGGAGCCTGCTTCCCCCTCTCTCTCTGCCTACTGCTCTGCCTGCTTGTGATCTCTCTCTCTCTGTCAAATAAATAAATAAAATCTTTAAAAAAATAAATAAAAATAAAAATAAGAGCACCATGATTAGGGACTTGAACTCTAGAATAGGCTGGATGGCAAATGACTTTACCTCCTAGTACTTGACTATCCTCATATGGAAAATTATAATAAAGATACTTCTTTCATAACCTTTGAAGGCTTTGTAGAGTGCACTATATTAACATACAAAGAGCTAGTAACTCATGAAGGGCCTGAAATATACAAGCACTACAAAAATATCACCTGCTGCTATTGTTGTGGTTTGCTATTAAAATTATTGCTCTTCTGGTTCTCCCAGGAGACACATAATTCATTAAGAGATACACAGATCACCTAAATATTAGATCATTGTAAGTGCTTCATGGAGACGTAAATTAAAAATAGTGTGGTGGAATGTTTCTTGATGGCATAAAATTTAATGGGATGATGAAGGAAGGTGACCTTGAACTCTGATTTGTATATCAAGCAGGAGTCCCCACCACTTCCTGTAAAGGAGAAGCTCAGAAGGAAGAGTTAATCCAGGGCTCAGAGCCTTGGGCATGGGGTGCTTTCATGATGGCTGGATGACAAGCAAACAGGTGATGGCTGTCGGAGCCCTGGTCACTCAGGGGAGGGCTGGTGGGATGAGCCCAGAGAGAGGCCAGTAAGCCTGGAGGTGGAGCATGCGTTTTGCTTTCTGAGTAATGCAAAGAATGGAACCATTTTTTTGGTAAAGATCTTATTTGTTTATTTAGAGAGAGCATGAATGGGGGGAGGGGAAGAGGGAGAGGAAGAGGATGAGAGAGAAGGTCAAGCAGACTCCACGCTGAATGCAGAGCCCAACCCAGGGCTGATCTCACAACCTTGAGATCATGACCTGAGCTGAAAGCAAGAGTCCAATGCCCCACCGACTGAGCCAGCCAGGCGCCCCAAGAACTGAATGGTTTTTAGAAGTGGCAGGTTCTTAGAGATACTTTCGTAAAATATCGCTCTGGTTTTTCGTGGAGAATACATCACAGGGAAGGTATAGGGGAGGCAGGGAGACCCGTTGCATAGTCGGTGGGAAGGTAAATGTTCATCTACTGCTGGAACAGTGGTGGTTGTGCCTCTCGGATGCACGGTCCCCAGGTGCCCGGTTGGCTGAGCCTGAGTCATGAATCAAGGAAGAGAAAGGGTGAGTCGGGCCCTCCAGGGTTGATCTGGGGACTCAACTACCACCTCCCCGCCCCCCAACTACATATAAATGGGAGACCCCACAGAACAGAAATGGGAGCACCAACAGGAGGCAGCATTGGAAGTCAAAGAACCAGTGGGTTAGACAGAGGATTCTGGCATGGATTTGAACCCTGCCCCCACGTAACTGTGTGAGGAGCAACGGCGCTGTAGTTAACAGTGTGGCCAAGGGAGGCTGACGGGCCGCGTTCGGGTCCTGCATCCTCCACATCCCACCCAGATGACCTTGGGCAGGCTGCCTACCGTCTTCTGTAAAAAGGGGATAGTAGGGGCACCTGGGTGGCTCAGTGGGTTAAAGCCTCTGCCTTCAGCTCAGGTCATGATCCCAACATCCTGGGATCGAGCCCAGCATCAGGCTCTCTGCTCCGTGGGGAGACTGCTTCCTCCTCTCTCTCTGCCTGCCTCTCGACCTACTTGTGATCTCTGTCAAATAAATAAATAAAATCTTAAAAAAGGAAAAGGGGGAGGGGCGCCTGGGTGGCTCAGTGGGTTGAGCCGCTGCCTTCGGCTCAGGTCATGATCTCAGGGTCCTGGGATCGAGTCCCGCATCGGGCTCTCTGCTCAGTGGGGAGCCTGCTTCCCTCTCTCTCTCTCTCTCTGCCTGCCTCTCTGTCTACTTGTGATCTCTGTCAAATAAATAAATAAAATCTTTAAAAAAAAAAAAGGAAAAGGGGGAATAATAATCATACCGAGAGTTGTTGCGACATGTAATGAATGGTGTGGGGGAAACAGGCTCATTCCTGCAGGACGAGGGCTTCTGTCTCTGGTCTGGGCAGTGTGGGGCTGCTGGGAGAAGGAGGTTAGGACTGTTTCCAGCAAGGAACATCTCAGGTGTACCCATTGCAGGAGGTGCGTGGTGGGGGAAGGGAGAAGAAGCAGGGAGCTTGGAAGACACTGGAGACAGTGAGATGGGGGAACAGAGCGGGTAGGAGAACATGAAGCAGAGGACTCATAGGAGGGGGTGCTGTCTAGAGGGAGCTGGGCAGAGGAATTAATTATAAGAAGGAGCATTACTTCAAGCAGGGAAGGCTATGAGCTGGTCATGTCCTCACTTGGCCTCCTTTGCTTGGGGAAATGCCCAGCTCTCCTGGGATTATACCTGGCAACGCAGGTAACAGAACAAAGAGCCCAGTAATAATCAGTGATGTGAACCAGGCCTCCTGTTGTCATAGCTGTAGCCAGGGAAGAAGATGCTCAGCTCCCTCCCCACCCCCCAGCCTCAGATCTTTCTCCATCAGCCAGAGAAACAGCCAGAACGCCCTGAGCAAGGCGCTGAGTTAGATGCAAAGACAGAGCTGATCTAGAGCCTGCTCCCAGGGAGCTCACAACAGAACCAAGAGGGTACAGTCAGTGGGTCCTCCCTGCGTCCCTTCCACCCTCTGTGTCGCCCTCTCTGCTGCCACCATAACATACCGAGAGCCTCGGGGTGACCGTGGGCGCTCCATGGCCCCCAGGGTGTGTTCAGCAAATGGTGTACAACCCAGGAGCTCCGTCCAAAGCTCGGTGTTGTGATACTAGTCAGGAGAAGTGCTGTGGTGGGTCTTAGGAGGGAGAGCAGTTTCCAGTTCTGAGAATTTTACAAAAGGAATGTTCCAGAAGGTAGCATTCAGAGCTGCCTCATTCCTGTTCCTGAACGGGTGATGTCGTATTCTAGTTCTTGGTGTCTTGGTCTGGGTTGTCCCCCTCCAGGAATGGGATTTTCTTAGTCTCTTTGTGCCCACTTTAGCACAGGGGCAAAGGGATCACATAGAGTAAATAATTCTTTGGCCCCTGGCCAATGTCACCTAAGCCAGACAACTCTCTGTGAGTATAAAATGGAGATGATTTATGACTTATATGCTCTCTGCTGTGTGCGGGAACCCGGCAAATCCCCATTTGGAGATCACGCCTGTTATCTTCGGCTGGGGAGCGCAGGTCTGATGTGGGAAGGCGGGCGGGGGAAGACCCTGGTGCACGCACCACCCCTGCGTGCTTGGTCTCCACCACGTGTTTGTATCCTTGAAATCATGAGTTAGCTTGATGCTGGGTCAGATCTCTGGTTCATTTGAGTCTGATTAGCTCTGTATGATACTTCACTTAAAAAGTAGTACAGGGGTACAACTGGGTGGCTCAGTCGGTTAAGGGACTGCCTGGAGCTCAGGTCATAATCCTGGAGTCCCAGAATCGAGTCCCGCATGGGGCTCCCTGCTCAGTGGGGAAT